ACAGAGGGACATGTGAAAATGCTGAATTTTAGGATTTTATTCATATAAATAAATCTGATTTATTGAATTCTCCATGTGGTCTATATTAAAGGGCACTTCATTTAATATAACAGGCTTTTAAAATTCAATATTGGTGCACAATTTCTATTTAAAATATAAAAGGGACGCAAAAGGCACTCTTTTTGTAGAACACTTGTATGAACACTACAGCTAAGCAGCTACTGTAACTTTGTGACAGTTGCTATGAAACCATTGCCACTTAATAAAGCATACATAGACAAACAGTTGGATAGATGAACTGAAATAAAATATGACATATTTCACAGTGTTATTTTGTACTGCAAAAACAACGCTACACTACCCACAAATCCCCCTCCTCCTAATTGTCCCGAAGACCACACTACAGCTACATCTATATTTCATTCCCAAATTCTGCCACGGAGCTACAAGAGAGATTTCACTTGGCATCCAGCAAAGCAGTTGAAAAGCTAAAAAGGCCACATGAGATGTTTTTCTTCTCTGTGTGGAACAGTATTCAGCAGCCGTTGGATCCAGACTAGCAGCAGTCCGGGGTATTTCAGGGCTGCCTCTCTCTCTGCTTTACCAACGGCACCCATCTTCAAACACACACTGATCACAGTAAGATGAGTGTGTGAGGAGTGTGTGAGGGAGGGAAGTGTGTGAAGAAGAGAGGTAGTGGTTTTATTTTCCCAGCGAGGGCTTGCTGTCGAGCAACACCACTTAATCTTTGGTAGCACAGGGGGGAAGTCCTTCGACTTCAGGCGAACCTCTTTTGGATTGCAGTTTGTTTTACTGCCTGTGTCAAGTGCTCTTTCATATTACCATCAGCAGTTACTGTAAGGTTAGAGTGGAGGGTAACAACAGTGTTCCTTACTGCAGTGCCACAGAGATACAACCCATTCTGCACACTCCTATTCAATATAGAACTAAAGTTATGTCTAAGGTTAGGGAGCACTGCCAGGTCGTGACGGACATCTTTCAGAGTGAAGAGTGTACAGTGCAGGCGGGGGTGACCGCAGCACTGCCTGAACAGAATAGGAAGGGGATTTATGAGGGTTTGTGGTTTGGGGAGCTGTGGCTGTATTTGAAATGGGCAGGCTGGGCAACCACAAGTCGTCCTTGGGAGAAGGAAGAAGTGAGGAAGGAACAGACTGGAGTTCACTGGCTCCAGAGAATATTTAAATATAGAGATATTTTTAGAGATAAATATGTAGAGATATTTGCTGACTTGTATCAGAAAAGATCGTCAAACTGTAGCCTATAAGAAGTGAATACAGCACTATCATTGCCACACTTTTATTTTCAATATGTGTACGGTTACTCTACCATTTGGCTGATGTGCTCTCCACATAGCTGTTTCCACAAACTATTCCCTAATCCACATAGCTGTTTCCACAAACTATTCCCTAATCCACATAGCTGTTTCCACAAACTATTCCCTAATCCACATAGGTGTTTCCACAAACTATTCCCTAATCTACATAGCTGTTTCCACAAACTATTCCCTAATCCACATATCTGTTTCCACAAACTATTCCCTAATCCACATAGCTGTTTCCACAAACTATTCCATAATCCACATAGCTGTTTCAACAAACTATTCCCTAATCCACATATCTGTTTCCACAAACTATTCCCTAATCCACATAGCTGTTTCCACAAACTATTCCCTAATCCACATAGCTGTTTCCACAAACTATTCCCTAATCCACATAGCTGTTTCCACAAACTATTCCCTAATCACTTCTACAGTTATAATTCAGACAGCATCTCTTGCTGATGATGCACTTGATAGTGTGATTGGAATGGAATGACAGTGAGTGTGTTACTGCACCTGTAGATTAAGTTTGGCACCTTGCGTATGTCAGAACCTAGCATGACTAGATTCCAGATACTTCCACCTCTACCTTAGTCTCCTCCCTCCAACCTCACCGGCTGCTGTATCAGTGTTAGTCATCACTGTAGTAATTCTGTAAACTCCCAAAACATGCTTTGAAGTATTTCCTATGCTTTTGTCAAATCGTATTAATGTTTGATTGCTGCCGTCTAGGTTTATTTTTTTATGGGATCACCTGTATAAATAAAGGAGCAAAAGTGGAATGAGTTTAAATCTACACCAAAAGCCACAACATACTATGAATAATTGCTGTTACATTGATTACAATAGTCAATAGTGATACAGTATTATACAGTATACAGTACATCCAGTCCTAGTCCTCTGCTCTACAGTATGAAGGCTGGGAGGGTGGCTGATCTCATAAAGGCTGTTATATCTTTCATTTCCAGGTGATTGACAAAATGGAGCGGGACAGGAAGACACGGTGAGTGGAAAAACCTGTGATTCATCACATTTGATTTATGTTCACTCTTCTCTTGTCTTCTCCCCTCCTCTCCTCTTATCCCCATCTCCACTCTCCTCAGGGCACTTTAAATGAATGAAAAGCGAGGGAGAAGACAAGGTGAGTAAAATGGGTAGAACGTTTCTCTCTCTCCTCCTCCTCCTTCGCTCCCCTTGCTTTTCATTCATCTTGAGTAGCCCAGTGTGAATTAGCATGTGCTAGCAGCATTAGCCAGGCAGAGGCAGATGTGAACCTCTCTCCACACAGCCAGATTTTGGAGCATAAAATTGAGTGAATTCAATCCTTTTATCATCTTTAATTATGTAAATCATGTGCCACAGATATTTATTGTCAAGACAGGGGGAGCCATGTTATTTATTTATTTGTATCTCCCTCAGCAATCAGAAAAGAGGCTTCACCAGTAGACAGCAGTTTTTCAAAGATAACCACAATATTCTATTGAGAAAACATACACACTTCATCAACCTGACTCTAACTGGACAATACCACTTTCCCCCCCTATCTTCACCCACCGTTTCACATGACCTCACTCACTCACTCTGTCTTACTTATTTTACTGTATGGGTTCAATTGTCAATAGCAACCCACTAAAATACCTTGTCACATACAGAGCAGCAATCCCATTCCTTCTTCACCCCATTAAATCTAGTCTATCCATCTAGGATAAATTATCAATGTATTTGGGTGTATGGGAAAGCCTTGTGTGTGGTGAAAAGAGGTATGTGTGGAGAAAAATGTATATACAGTATATGAGGGTAAGGGATGGAAAAGGGGCTTTGTTCAAAATTATAATAGAGGGGAGTTATAGCACCACAATCCCCGCATTCTCCAGGCAAAGCCTGTTAACAGTTCCATTAGATGTATCAATGCGTATCCACTGTCCCACAGCCCAGCCAATTTATAAACTTAATCTTCCCTGGAAAAAAAGTGTCTAGACAATATTTCCACATGCTAATAGGCTAGCATTTGGTTTGTCTAAACCTTCCTGTTTGCCTCTCGACCTGTGGAACAATGTTGCAGTTTATTTTTTTGCGATCTTCACCGTGCCATGCACATGAATGTGACGAGACTGATCACTTCTCTGAGCAAGGAAAAATCATTTATCAGGATTATTCTAATGGATATATCCAAAGAAATGGCAATAGAAACAAAGGCACATAGTTTGCTGTCATTTCAGCTGTTGATGTGATTGTGTGTTAGCTTTAGTTGGCTAGCTAGCAAAGTAGAAGTAGCTAGCCTGCATAGCTAAATGCCAATGATTTGTTTAGCATAGCAACCATTGCAAATAGAATGGATAGAATGAATTACCAGCCCATTGGGCTAGCAATTTCAGAAACTCAGAACTAACGACTGGCTTTTGCCGGGACTATTTAGTATGGTGGAAGGATGAAATAAAACAAATTTACTCAATATAGTAACGTTTTTAATGAAAACATGTCGTTAATCTTTTTTAATATGTTGGCGCCCGTTTTATAAAAGCAATAAGGCCCTCGAACCTGGGAATTATTGAGAATAACACCCTCCTAAGGGCTGTTACCCCAGCCCTTGGCTTCACTTCGGGCCTAAGAGCAGCCCTAGCAGGGAGTTATTCACACGATAATTCCCGGGTTCTCATGCCTTTTTGCTTAAGTAAAACAGCATCCAAGGACGATGTTGTAGGTCAATGGCAATGAAAAATGTCAAGAGGTTTATGGCAATGTATTTTGTGGAGGTAAAGAGGGATATATACAGAATGTGGGATGCTCAATGATTTTTCCCCTATGGAACATGATTCTGCAGGTCAGTCGTTCAAAACTGTGATGGTGGTGTTAAAATTATCCAACATATCACGCTGCTTCGGGCAGTATTCCCTTCAACCCTCGACAACACACAAAATAAGTTGACAGTGTTATTAAACCCTGACGCAGCCAAGGGTATACACCATACAGCCTATAGGAGACCAGAGGGGATTTCAAATCATTGTTTGGCTTCGAAAGGTTGTAGTAAATCCACGCACTGCTCAATTAATGGGAAACCAGCCCGAAGGTGATGCAAATGAAGAGAGTCAAGGCTTCTCGCGGCACGCGGAGGGAGGTAATTGGGAGGATTGTGTTCGACAGTACAGATTAGCCTGTCACGCTACTTCACCTTCCCTCTGCTCCCCCCCTTCCTGTACCCCTGTAAACAACACAGAGAACTCTGATTGAAAGCTATCAAACTAAATCTCCACGCCGCCAGTTATATATATGTTACTACAGCAACAAATATCGTTAGCCTGCCTGCATGCCACCATGGCTGGAGGCTAGGAGCTGATAGCATACTTTGTGTGCCAAGGAAATATATGGTGCTGCTTAGCAGAGAGGGTGCGAACAGACTGTTGATGAAGTTTCTGTGAGCCAGTTTTTGCATTGAACTCCAGGGCCCGTATCCACAAAGAGTCTCAGAGTAGGAGTGCTGATCTAGGATCTGTCCAAATAATCTTATTCATTATTAACTAAAAGCACTCCTACCCTGAGACACTTTGTGGATACGGGCCCTGAACTAGCCTCTTTGTAGTGTCAACACTATCCTGCTGTTGCAATTGGGCATTTTGCGATTGCCTAGCTCAGGTAGTGTGGATACTTTGTATCGATTGTTACCTGCAGTGAAGTTGTAGTTGGCTGAAAATCCAATCGCCTCCAGTTCGCCGTCAGAAACAAATTTTATCCAGAGGTAACGTCCGCTGCTCCTGATGAAGGGAGGGATGGTCTGGCCACAGTAGCGCCCGATTATTGGGGAGAAGCCAAAGGGGCCATCTCGCACCTCAATGTTGTCAAATTTACATTCCCATGAAGGCTCTATAGAATACCTCTCATCAAAGAACAGAACAATACACAGCCTCGGAGGAGCTGGAGGAGACAAAGAGAGTAGATAACACAGATAAATATAATGCTCATGCTATATATAAAGTATAAGTGTAGCATATTACACAATGCAGTACGTCTATAAGGCATTTAAGGCAAAACATAGAGAACATGTGAAGTGCAATTAAGATGAGGCTTTCTTATGGTAAATGCCCATGTTAGGGGTTTATTCATTTTGAGTCATTTTGCAATGCAATTGAAATAGATACTCACTGTAAGTTGTCTTAAATTAATTAACTACTATGTGGCTTAGATGAGTGATTTACTAAGAAAATCTGAATCCTAGAATCCCTGTGTTTTATTAATTTATTGGTGAAGGATTTTCCAAGTATTTCAAGCAACTACATCATACAGTTATATGAATATAACTTCTGTTCCCTGAAGGAGGGAACGAGGCATAACATAGTATGGGGAGTCAACGACCAATCATACTCACCTGAAGAAAACTGAAATCACGCCCAACGGGCCAATGGATACCGAGCCAAAACTCGGAAGTCCCGCCTTCCTGGCTATGACACCGGGACTCAAATTCATTTCCTCAGTTCAGTACCGCTCTTCAGCGAGCCCAAACCCCTTGACGGTGCGGGGATAAAATATGTTATACCTCGTTCCCTCTTTCAGGGAACAGTAGTTATATTCATAACTGTATGTTCCCTTTCATTCGGTCACTGTGTATAACATACTATGGGGACATACAATCACGCCCCAAGCCAGCTCAGAAGGTACCAAACCAGGATGCCCACGCTAGCCCAAGCACAGACAGGTTCCACTGGCTCCAAAAAGGGGTTACAGAAGCCACCTTTTCCCCTAATACTTAGCCGAGAAGCCTGAACTGTCAGAGCCTCATGAGGACTGAACTGTCAGAGCCCTACAGTATATAGGGAACCAGAACATGCTGCAACTTGGCTATGCGCACTGACACGCTGCCACTGCAGCCCAAGTCCATAGACCCCACGGTTCCAAGAAAAATACTTAGCTTGTGAGCCTGAAATGTCAGAACTCGTACAAGGAACCGCAAGACCAAAACAACAGAACACCTGTCGTGACTTGGTAAAACGCACACGCTCTCTGCATAGCATCGATCAGAGTCGATGAACCAGGAAACCTGCAGTAACCTGGAAACTGTGTACTCGCATGCTGCCATGGCAGCCCAAGGCTCAAACCCACAGGGAACTGTGGTAACCACCCTGGGAGTAGTTACATCCAAGCGATAAAACCTCACAAAGGTATGTGGGGAACGCCAACTGGTTGCAGCACAGATATCACCAATCGTCATGCCTCTGAACAATACCCAAGAAGCCGCCACACCCCTAGTGAAGTGAGCATGCACACCGGTAGGCAACCCTTGTCCTTTGCTGTCATATGCCAGGGAGAAAGACACTGCTTAGAAAGCACCTTACCCCGAGCTCGATTAGTAAAACAGACAAAAAGCTGGTCACAAACAGGGATTTCCTTCGTCCTATCCATATACGTGCGGAAAGTGCGAACCGGACACAAGCCATGCAACCTCTGTTGATCACCAGAAGCAAACGGAGGAGGTGAGAAAGGGAACAGCTCGAAAGCCAGGGACCTGTAAGATATAGGCATAACCTTGGGAGCAAAAGCTGCATTAGGGCATAACAAAACAGGGAGGGTGTACTGATAGCGCGCAGAGATCTCCAACGTGCTTGGCCGACACCAAGGCCATGAGCAGGGCAGTCTTGTAGGAAAAGACCATCAGCTGTACACCAATGGCTCAAACGGAGTCTCAGACAGAGCATCCAGGACCAAAGCCAGGTCGGTGCCAGAGGCTTAGACACTGGTCTGAGCCAACACACGCCTTTCAGGAACCGCACCACCAGAGGATGAAACCCCGGTGTAGAGCCGTCAATCCCTACATGACACGCCGAGATGGCAGCCGTATAAACCTTCAATGTCGCAAAAGAAAGGCCCTGCTCAAAAAGCTCTTGCAGGAACATCAAAATGTCCACCAAAGAGACGAAACTCCTTTAACCTGACACCAACTGCGTGCCACTTATATGTATATTTCATAGAGGGTGCACGCGCCAACTGTATAGTTGTAATCCCGTTCAAGAGTAAACTCCTAGCCGTTAAATTCAACCTTTTAGGGGCCAAACCCACAGATCCTTTAACTGCGGTCGTGCGTGCCAAACTCTCCCATGCACCTGGGGTAATAGTGATGGATATTTTTTAGTGGACTATGAGATAAAACTGGGTTAATCACGAACATAGAGTTAGAATTCTTTGTTGCTGGGCCAGGAACTTAATTGGGTAATTTCACTGTGTGTGTGTGGGTAAAGTGGGAATCTGACCTAGGGTCGAATTGCTCACTCTTACTTAAATCCATGGCTGTCCTACTTTATCAGAGAGACTGAAACCAGACTGTGGCCTTTTGCCTCTCTCCTCAAACAAAGTGGAAGGAGCGGCCAGGGTTGGACAGAGTTCAGGCTAAACCTTTGTCTCTCCTGGGGTATCTTCTTGATTGATTACAGCATGATGGGGTGAGGTTTTGTGTATGTTTGAAAGATTTAAGTATGGACCTGTCATGTCCAACAATCAGTCTTCAGATCAAGCCCAGGAGAGCCGGGGTTGAACAGAGTTTAAACTAAACATGAGTGTTTTTGCAAGATAAGGGACTGATTGATTGTATTACCATTGATTCTGAACTGAATGAAAGTTGAATTTAGCCACCATCATAGACAAAGGAAGTGGGCGGAGCGATAAAGAGCGGGAAACTGAAGAGGGAGGGATTTTAAGCGAGGGTGTGTGTGAAGGAGACTATATAGCTAGGGCAGAGAGAGAGAGAGGGGGCCGAATCTGAAGATTGGCCTGGCTTTGTTGAAATTGTAATAGAGTCATTCTTGATTCCACAAAAACTATGGAAGGACTTTGATTTTTAATAAAGTATAGTGGTTATTGTCCACTACAATAGATCCCGATGACACAGAACCATCCACGGGTCCCTGCCCAACAAGCAGATGATCTCCGGGAACCAGGGTTGTCTGGGCCAACGGGAGCCACCAGAATCAACAACAAACCCTCCTGACGGACTGTCCCCAACAGATGAAAACGAGCGTTTTCTCTCGATGCGTAAAGTTCTACGTTGGCCCTTCCGAACCGGTCCAACCACCGAGGGGTGCAGTCTCCACTCTGTAGCAATAGGACCCTTCCTGGAAAGTAGATCCTCACCCACTTTGAGAGATCGGTAAGATACGTCACCTTGAGCGACAGGAAATGCGCACGGCTCCATACGAGCTGATAACGGGACAGGTTTAGGAGAGAGAGAGACCGCACACTATGTCCTGCCACTAATGTCCTGCTTGTCGGACCTTCCCAACACATGCTGGCCCTCCAACATCGGAAGGAAATGCCTCAGTGCTGGCAAAACAGTCAGTAGCTCTTGGTAATTGATATGCAGCACCCTTTGCGCTGTTGACCAAATCCATCTTTCCAAGTAGCCCACACACAGAGCTCCCCATGCCAGTAAGGATGTGTCTATCATGATCACTCTGCGGGACACAACCTGGCCCATAAGAACCCCCTGCAACAGCAGTCGTGGGTCGCTCCAAGGAGTCAATGCCCTAAGGCACGATGGGGATACCTTGAGCAACCGACGGCAGGGGCAAGATACATTCAGACGTGTAGCAATCACCCAGCCCTGAAACAGACGCATCAACAGAAGAAGCACCACAGCTATTATAGAGGCCATCAGACCCAATAACTGCAGGCACAAGCGTAAAAGCACCAAATGCCCCAGCTAAAACTGTGCCAGACAGAGCCGGAATGTTACCCTCCTCTGTTGGGACAAAACCGCATGATTCAGAACCGAGTCCAGAATGAGACACAGAAATTGAATGCACTGAGTCGGAGTCAAACAACTTTACTTGTGATTCACTATGAACCCCAGAGACTGAATATGGGAAACCAGCGTGTCAGTGTGGCGCTCCACCTGTTCCCTCGAATCCGCTATGATCAGACAATCGTCCAGATAGGCCAATACTCTGATCCCCTGGCACCACACCGGTGCCAAAGCCGCCTCCACCACCATAGAAAAGGTGAGTGGCGAAAGAAAGAGGCCGATAGGCAGGACCGGAAACTCGTAGGCCACACCCTCGAAATGAAATCTCAGAAATTTACTGTGGGGAGGATGTACAGCCACATGGAAATACGCATCCTTTAGATCTATGGACGTGAACCAATTGATGGGACGCACCGACTGCAATAGCCGGCAAAGTGTGAGCATTTTGAACTTGCAAACCTTGAGGTGCTTGTTTAAAACACACAACTCCAGGATGGGATGCACTTTTCCATCTCTCTTGGGAACTAAGAAGTACTGCCTATACCAACCGCTCTGTTCTTCTTACATGGGGACCACCCGAATAGCCTGCTTTTGAAGGAGAGAGGAAATCTCCTCTCTCAAGACAGGCGCTAGGACTTCAAGGACTATTGACGTAATGAGGCCACGAAAAGCAGGCGGAGGTACAGCGAACTGCAGACTGTACACCCTTGTCACCGTCCTCATCACGCATGGTGAAACTGCTCATGCCCGCGGAGCATGCTGCCAGTCTTCCATTCATTATCTCCTGAAGGGGCAGAGGGCCACCCTGAGGACTGGGATAAAAACAATTTTGTCATGCTTGTTTTCATATCCGTCACTCTTGAAAACTGTGTGTCTGAATGTGGGGAAGGAACTGTGTTTATTATGTCCACACCTGAATGATACCGCACTCTTGATACCCCTGAACACGAGGAACCTTGGGTAGAAACAATGTGTTATTGTGGTACCGCTGTTCTGATACCCGGCTCACACCGGGGTCGGGGACTTTGGCAACCAGTAACTTGCCCCAATTGACCGAGCCTCTTGGGAGCACTGTTGCCACAGTAAATACTTGGGAAGGTGGGCCCTGAGAACACACCCTCTCCCTCGGCCTCCAGCTAGGGTCGCCTGGTCTGCTTCTTCCATGCCACAGAAGAATCTGGTTTCACCCCACTCTCCTTCAACTCAGCACAGCGTCTGTGCCAAGAAAGGGCCTGGACCCTTTCTTTCACACCTCAGGACCTGCCGTGCTGCCCGTCCGAAGGATTTTCGTGGGAAAAGGACCTGTAGAGCTGCGTCCTGTTTTTGTTTCTCCTTGAAATGGGCCTGCAAGGACTCCATAGCCAAGCCAAACAACCTTGTTGGCAAAACTGGCTCATCCAAATACATCTGCCTGTCCCTCTCAGGAATCCGGGACAACGTCAACCAGGATAGTACAGCGGGACAGACGCAGCACAAAATCAGCCATAGCACGGATTTCGTCAAGAAGCACTGAAACCGGTTTCCCCGCCTCCACGGTCTTATTCAGCTCCTGCAGCAAATTGATATGATACATCTGCAGCATTGTGGCCACATTCAATGACCGGGATGCCACAACCTCAGGCTGGTACACTTTGTCCAGCTGATCCACGAGAACCGGCACTGTTTATTTGGAAGCACCATGCTAGGATTAGCCCCCTTGTTAACCTCTGGAGCTAAGTAACTCACCAGCTTTTCATCCATTGGTGGTGTGCAAATGAGCCCTGCCTCCTCCATACCCTCTACATTCATGAACTCTTCATAACCTGGTAGCACCAGCCTAGCTGAATGAGGAGAATCCCAGGTCGCCTTTAGCTCATAGGCAAAATCTTTAAACAGGGGTAAGCGACGCTTCACCTGGCAGGGATAGGAGGTAAATACCTTCCCCCAAACCTGGAGGAATTCCGCTGCAGGGTAGAAGACGGTCAATCCACCCCCAGGTGATCTTCCGCCCTACGACACAGCTCCATCAAAGGTGCATTAACCACCAATGGTTCACTCTCCCCCACTGAATCCAAAGCCGGGGCTTTAGGCTGCTCCGGACTGATGTCATCCCATTCACACTCTGAAAACCCTCCAGAGCAATCCAGGGATAGTATATCATCCCAGGAATCCGGACTCTGAACACTGCCAGAGAAACCGGAATGAGCCTCACTCAGCTGGGATGACACCCCTATCAACTCCAACCACCATTGCTGCTCTCTCCCGGCCTCAGACAACCCCATTCCCAATGTCTTTTCACCGGAAGACCCTTTGCCAGCAGCCCCAATATTTCTCACAAAGTCAGCCTGACACCTAATGGAAGTTGAACCCAGCCGGAGACAATGGTCACACAAACTGGTCTGAGCCAAAGCCTCTTGAGTGTGTTTTCACCCAAGGCAAACAGGACAGCACTCGTGAGTATCTTTAATATGCCCTAGGGCACGGTCGGATGTTCAAACTTGGCTGGTTAGCCTTTTTGAACTTACTCTTACCACTGGCCATCTTACTCAAGCAAGGAAGCACTGGCTACACAAGCAGAGCAGAAAGTAGTGGATTTTTAGCAAACACAAATCCTACCAAGCAAGGAAGTATTAGCTACACAAGTAGAGCAGAAAATATTTAGCTTTTAGCAAACTCAAAAACCGATACCAAGACCCAAAACTCGCAACATCTAGGGGGACGAGTACTCTCTCCCCACTAACAGACACCTAAGGTGGAGTCAAATCTCGTAGTCTTCGTGTGCTTGAAAAGTTTGTAAATTGCATGACATGTTCTTCCTTCAGGCGAGCTGAAGAGCGAAGAATTTTGCAAATGAATGTGAGCCCCGGTTTTATAGCCAGGAAGGTGGGGCTTCTGAGGGCGGGCTCGGCATCCATTGGCCAGTTGGGCGTGATTTCTGTGTTCTTCAGGTGAATATGATTGGTCGTTGATTCCCCATGGTATGCTATACAGAGTGACCGACTGAAAGGGAACCTTATATTTATATCTTAATTATCAGTAGGCTATTGGTAAAGTCCAGTAGCCACGTTCGACCATCTTGATCTCACAAGCTTACATTCGGTCAGGTCAGGATGGTGGATCGGGCTAAAAGTCTGGCCCGTCATCCACATTTCATCTATAAATCCAGTTCAAACCATAACCCAGATGATACTGTTGTAGCTAGTATAGTTCCTCCAGTCCAGTAATAGAATCTCTCTGTATAGATGATCTTTCATGTATTCATTTAGTTAATATCATTAGGGCCATAACCTAATCTCCTCCACTGATTAATCAAATATCAACCTCCCAGAACATAAATTAAAACGACTGAGATTGCAACTCGTTGTCTGATTTCATTACCATCATCAGACAAACATCAGCAGCACAGCAACTAAACTGGCCAAGCCCATCAGTTATTACTGTGAACACATATATCAATATCTGGTCGAGATTTCTCTCTGAAACATGAAGAGATACATCCATCCACAGAGCAACTTGAGCCCATCCATATTCACTGAAGCCTGAAGTAGACAGCGAGGAGATAAACAGACAGATCGTTTTAATTTCTCACCTGGATCTAAGATGATAAAGATGTGAGGACTATCATATGTTACATGCTGTAAGATCAAGGTTCCTGAAACACTATATAAGAGTCTGTATTCCTTATTCATGGTGGTCTATTCAAACATTCCGTATTTGTTTGGAGAATGTCAACCCATGATCTGAACAGAAAACATAAATGGCTTTATAATTATGTTAGTTACTGTGAAAGCTATTCACCTTCAATAATGTAAACACACTCTACTTCTGGGGGGTATTTGCTGGGGTAGTTGGGAGATGTGAACAGTCCCCCGTCTCCTTCTTTCACCCAGGTGCCACATTGTCCTGCAGGCTTCACTCCTGAATTGTTTTTCACTGAAAAAAACAGTAGCAGAGTGAATTGTATTATATAGATATATAGATAGATAGATAGATAGATAGATAGATAGATAGATAGATAGATAGATTAAGACTAGATAGAGTAGATAGATAGATAGATAGAATAGATAGATCTAGATAGAGATAGATAGCTAGAGAAGAGAGAGAGAGAGGGAGGAGCGAGACGAGCGAGAGAGAAGAGAAGCCCGAAAGAAAGACAAGAAAGAAGAAAGACAGAAAAAAGAAAGTAAAGAACAAGACCAAGCGAGACGGAGCGCCGCCGACGACTAGAATCTAATAGATATAGATATAGATAGAAGAAAAGAGAGAAGAGGAGAGAGAGAGAGAGAGAGAGAGAGAGAGAGAGAGAGTTACAGTCAGGTCCAAAATTATTGGCACCTTTGATAAAGATGAGCAAAAAAGACTGTATAAAATAAATAATACAAATACTGAGCTATATTGTATGCTCCAAAAAATCTGAAAATTATATTATTTTATACTAATGCAATAGCTCAGAGAAAGATTTTGTTTAACAATTCATATTTTTTTCTCTCAAAAAGATAGCGGTCAAAATGATTGACAGCCCTGTTTTCAACACCTTTCAATCCCTCACCTTGCGAGGATAACCGCACTGAGCCTTTTTCTAAAATGTTTTATGAGAGTAGAGAACACATTGGGAGGGATCTTAGACCATTCCTCCATACAGACTTTTTCCAGATCCTTGATATCTTTCGTCTGCGGTTATGTACTGCCCTATTCAATTCAAACCACAGGTTTTTAATTGATTTTGTGGTCACTTAACCATTTCTTTGTGGATTTTGATGTGTGCTTGGGGTTCTTGTCTTGCTGTAAGATCCACTTGCGGCCAAGTTTCATTAAATTTTACCCAGTACCAGGTCATTTTTTGCCAAAAACCTGGTTGCCCCTTGGCCACAGGTGGATCTTCCAGCAAGACAATAACTCCAACCACACATCAAACTCCACAAATAAATGGTCAATTTATCACAAAATCAGCATTTTGCAATGGCCATCTCAGTCTCCGGACTTGGACATCATTGAAAAGCTGTGGTTTGAATTGAAGAGGGCGGTCTTTAAAAGCAGACGAAGGATATCAAGGATCTGGAAATATTATGTATGGAGGAATGGTCTAAGATCCCTCCCAATGTGCTCTCCAATCTCATAAAACACTTTAGAAAAAGGCTCAGTGCAGTTATCCTCGGAAGGTGAGGTATTGAAAACAGGGGTGCCAATAATTTTGACCCCTATCTTTTTGAGAGAAAAAATATTATTTGCTAAACAAAATCTCTTTCTCTGAGCAATTGGATTAGTATAAAATAATTTAATTTTCATATTTTTATGAGAATACAATTTAGCTCAGTATTTGTATTATTTATTTATACAGTATTTTTTGCTAATCTTTATCAGGGGTGTCAATAATTATGGACCTGACTGTATGCAATGATAGAATGCATTTTACCTGCTTCCTTCTTTGTTGCCCCAGACAACCCAAGTATGAGTAGACTTGCAACAACTGCAACAAGAGACAAATACATTTCGGTAGTATATCCCGCCTAGGGTAAAATAGGCCTACTCTGAAGATATCAAAATACAAGGATATGGGCCATTTTAAAAAAAAATAGTGTACCATTAAATCAATCCAATCTCAAATTAGATTAATTTGAAAACATTTAAATCCCTAAAGTTTCTCAACTTTTTTAATAGAATTGGATGCGCAATGAACAGGCACACATAATCTACCTTTTACACTGTATCATACATCAGACCTCGGGCAACACATAACTGGGCTTTTACGCACTATTCATCATACAAATGGAAAAAGTGTAGGTTATACATGCAGTCTTCAGGCTAAATACTATAATGTATCCATCCGCATGCAATGCTATGTAAAAGTAGCCTACACATACGGTTTGAAAAGGTAGGCTATATACTATAGAAATTGTCAATGGGTATGAGTGCATGGATATCAAATTCGTTACACATCTCCCGCTATATGGGGACTGACAACTATAGGCAACCACAATGGTACGTCAATTCATAAACTCATGAACATTGGGCTACTCAATTAAGGTTTTGTGGTATAGGCGCAAGGCAGTAAATTCTGTTCAATAGAAGTGATGACTTACCGTGAAGGAGGCTGTGCCCATGTACCATGTCTGTACCTTTCACAAGGGGCTTCAAGCTCAACTAATTCCATTTAGATTAAGGAATACTTCAAGAGGAAACGATTGAGATTTAAGGGAATTGCGAAATGGACAGCGTACCGCAATACCATTCCACCTTTCCTAAAATTAAATTAAAATACAATTGATAACCCGGCAAATGTCTTCACTATAATTTCTTGAATGAGAAGATGAAAATTCCAGAGAGAGAAAAATCGCAACTACTAGTCACCAGTTTCATATAAAACCAAAAGCAAGTCTAAACATTCGCCCGATTTCCATCCAAACGTTTCCAGAACCTTTTGGTGCTTCTGATGCACTGACTGGATTAATAGGTCCGTCATCGGCCTTTCCTGATCGCTCCACCTTTACAATTTTCCGATGAAACAGATTTAGGGAGAAAAGGGAGCTTTGGTTATTCTTCTTCAATCCTTTTATCTGGAAACAAAAATCCTAGTGACGCGTGGGTATCCATGCCCCTAAGCGCATTCTCCGAATTGTTTTCACTGAGATGTGTAAAACCCCGGCAATCAAGTTCGATAGCAAAAGTCGCAACGTGAAGAAGAATTGTCTTTATCTCATCCTTTCTTCCTCTATTCCCTCAAGCGATGGAGAGTGTTCGTAGAGCATTCTCCATTCTTCTCTGGCGACTGGCTGGTCTCTCTCTCTCTCTCTCTCTCTCTCTCTCTCCCTACACCCACCAAGAGTTAATGCATATTGTCGCCCTCCTCCAACCGTTGGTCATCCATTCATTACTACAACTACTGGGCTAACCTATAAACCACCCTAATTATAATTGGACCACACTCATACAACCATACGAAAACTACTTTGTTTCACGAAAATAATCAAACTTCCCCGATATAAGCGCCAAGGTGGAGTAGAAAAAAAGTACCGGGAGAAGGTGGTGGGTGGGTGTTTCTTTAAGATGCTCTCTCTCTCTCTGCAAGCAGACTGCAGAATCCAACACCTCAGTCCGCAGGGCACTGAGCGAAAATGTAAAAGGTAAGCAGAAAAACGCACATTGCGAGAGGAAATGGAAGAAACAAGCAAAGCAGATAGATGCCAGGATTAGATGCCAGGATACTGTAGACTATATCAGCAACACCTGCAGCATGGAATAGATGGAGGGGCAATCTGCCCCGTCGCCGAACATGGCGAGGTCGAGGTTGGGTGGGATAGAAAGTAACGATGCATGCAGACACAAGGCTAGGCTACATCAACTATGAGGGTTTTTGAACGAATATGTCGATTTTTTCCCCCATGTTCCATTCATAGTTAAATCATGCCTCGGATTGTGCAGTTAATCATCATCACTGCGTATTTCCAGTGCCTCTATCATAAATCAAATAGCTCACATGAAAAATGTATGTAGGGCTATAAGTGCATGTACAGAAATATCTTCCCCACGAAAAGGCCAAATGT